CTTTCTTTCACATTTCGTATTAACACACGATCACCGGGTTGTAGACTCGTACTCTTCGCTTTCTTGTCATATTGCACTTTCCCACTCGTAGCGTTCTTTTCGGCCTTTTCAGATGCAAGTTGGTATGCTTCGGACATCGATTCTCGCCATTTCTTGACATATTCAGGATAAGTGCTATGGCCAGGTGGAGGTTTCAGACCATACATAAGGTCAATTGGCAATCGCGGGGGTCTGCCAAAAAGTAGGAGGAATGGGGAGTATCCTGTCGCGTCATTTCTGGTACAATTGAATGCATGTACGACTTTCTGGAGATGATCACGCCAACGACTTTTGTATTTTTCTGGCAAGGACCGAAGCATTGACAAGAGCGTTCTATTAAATCGTTCAACTTGCCCATTACCTTCGGGGTGGTAAGGGGTTGTCCGAGAGTGTTTAATTCCGCTTACTTTTTCCAGGTTAAAGAAAAGTTTATTCTCGAACTCAGCACCTTGGTCGTGGTGTATCCTCTCAGGAAAGCCCTAGCGCAAGATAAAGTCGTTATAGAGTTTGTCTGCAGCGGTCTTGGCTGATTTGTCACGAGTCGCGTAAGCTTGAGCATACCTCGTAAAGTGGTCCATAACAACCAGGATGTATTGATAGCCTCCTACGCTTGTTTCGAGGTGAAGGTAGTCGATAGAGACCATTTGGAAGGGTGCGGTGGGTACGATTGGATGTAATGGTTCACGTTGGTTTCCTACGGGTTTCCGACTCTTTAAGCAATGACAGACTTTCGTGACGTAGTGAGTTATATCTTGTTTCATGTGAGGCCAAAAAAATCGTTCTCGAGCCAAGTCAATGACGCGTTCAGAACCCAAATGACCCATCTCTTCATGCAACTCTTTATAAACTTGTTGACGTAGACGTCCAGGTAGTACAACTTGACGGACTGTTCCTGCTAGTCGGTACAGAACTCCATCAGTCCCCACTTTTAACTTATTCCATTCTCTTAACAGCTGCTGTACAGTGTGGCTTTCCTGCTTTCTTTCATGAGGAGACAAATACGTGTTCGCTATTTTAAGTGTTATGACGCGGTCAATATCTGCGTCGTCATTCTGTGCTGTCTTCAAATTTATAGATGCTTGGTTTAAACTAACATCCGCTCGAGTAATCTCAGGAGGAAAGAGCAAAGGTGTTTGAAACTGTTCGACCTGTACTTTTGCTCCACAAACAGTCGCTTGGAAAGCGTCGCGATTAACCTCTTCACTGCATGTTTTCATATAATCGTCAATATTCATAGGCATTCTGGACAATGCATCGGCGTCTCCATTGAGTTTTCCTGGACGATAACGGATGTTGAACTTAAAGTCGGCCAGTTCTCCAATCCATCTTAAGCCTGTGGCATTAAGTCGTGCAGATGTTAAAACGTATGTTAATGGATTGTTATCGGTATAAACCGTAAATTCAGGCGCGTAATATAAATAATCACGGAAGTGGTCGGTGATTGCCCATTTGAGTGCCAGAAATTCTAATTTTCCTGCGTGGAGGTGATAGTTCTTTTCTGCATTCGTCAGACTTCGAGAGGCGTAGGCAATGACTCGCATTGTCTCTTCCTGTTCCTGGTATAAGACAGCACCTAGACCGTCTTTCGAGGCATCAGTGTGCACGATGTAGGGTTTTTGATAATCTGGATATGCCATAACCGGAGGTGTTATCAGATGATCAATGAGTTTCTCTAACACAGTCTGATGTATCTCAGTCCACGCGATTTTGAATGATGATGGCACTTGACCTTTCTTTCTGGTGTTTTTGTTACCTTTCTCTTGATCATGACACGGGTCTGTTATTGCTGCTTGTGTAACAAGGTCGTATAATGGTTTAGCCTTTCGCGCGAAATTGGGTACATAACGACGATAGTAACTGAGTAATCCAAGCATTTTTCGAAGATCTCCTATTGTATGAGGAGTATTGTTCTTTAGACTCGCAACTGCGTTAATGTTCTCGGGATCCATTCTGTAGCCATCTTTCGATACTACTCGACCGAGGAATGTGACTTCACGTTTGAACAATTTACATTTTCTTTGCTTTAATTTTACACCGTGTTCTCTTAGGCGACGTAAAACTGTTCGTAAGTGTTCGACATGTTCGTCGAATGTTCTACTAAATACGATCACATCATCCAAATAAGGAATGGCAATTTCATCACGTAATTCTCCTAAACACTGTTCCATGAACCTCTGAAAACTTGCTGGGGCGTTCATAAGACCGAATGGAATTCTTACCCATTCATATAACCCCCAGGGTGTCACAAATGCTGTTAACGGTCGGCAGGATGGTTTCACAAATCCTTGATGATACGCCTTACCCTGATCCAATACACTAAACCAAGCGTTACCACCTAAACTATCGAGAGTTTCTTGGACGCGCGGAATAGGATGCCTATCTGGCACTGTCTTACGGTTAAGTTCTCTATAATCGACACAAAGTCGCAGAGTTCCATCCTTTTTGCGAATACATACTACTGGGGATGAATAAGCTGATTTTGACTCTCTTATAAACTCGTTATTTAACAAATCTTCAATGTACTGTTTTACTTCGGGGTAGAGAGGTCTTGGTACCGATACATAGTTCTTTTGCACTGGCTCGTTTGTTGTCAAATTTATTTCTAGTTCTAGATCTTTGATATAACCGATATCCTCATCATTTCTTGCAAAAGAGTGACATTCTTCCTTCAACATGTTAGTAACCACTTGACGTTGACGTTCTGTTAATCCACCAAGGTCAACTTCAGGTAAAAACTGGTCATCATTTGTATTGTCTCGTTCTCGAGTTTCTTTCGCCATTGCATTCACTTGGGATTGTGTGGCTGTTACTGTTCGTTCTTTTTCTTTGCTTGACTTTTCTGCCAACTTCACTTCTACAGGTGTAATCGATTTAATTAACTGAAGACTTCCTAATACTGTGTGTTTACGCACGACAATGTCATGATTAGTTGTATTAGTCACATCAATCTTTACTTGAGACGTTGAGCCTTGTTTCACTGTTGTTACCGTTTCGTGCACCGATAAACCGTCTGGCCAGGGCGTTAATTCGTCCGGTTCAAACAAAACAAGTGTAGTTTCTTCTACCGGTCCAGTATTCGCTCGACAGTTAACTTTAAATGTTTTCTTTGCCGGAATAACAAAGTCTTTCTTTGGGCTCTTAATCGTGCATAGTTCATTTGCTCTTGCTGTCTGTATCAGTCTAACCAATTCGAGTAACACTTTCTCATCGAAACCTTGAAAACTAGCTTGTACTGTAGCAATATGTGCTGACTGAATATCAGATGTATTCATCGGCTTGATTAGTTCTTCAATAACATTGTATCCAAGAATGGGATATTCTAAACTATCGTTTGTTACTAAGAAAGGAACCATAACCGATGGATCTTTTTCTTTTGATGAAATCAATCTAACTTCTATCTCAGTCCAACCACTATACGCAATTCGTGTACCATTAGCTGCTGTTAAATCCAATTCACCATTAATAAGTTCTGAAATGTTCTTTATAACATTTTTAGGAAAGTGTTTTTCTATCATTTCTTTGGACACAATAGATACTTGTGCACCCGTATCCCATAATACTGTTGACTCAAATTCATTTAGAGAACACTTTACAGTGCACCGTCTTCCTACTAGCTTAGCAATCTTTGCATGCTCACTAGGAGTTAGGTGACTGGTAAATGTCTTATTATTGCTGCGTGTTTTGTTTTGACATGTCCATGTCAGGTCCCGAAGAGTTTTACAATTGTTCCTATGATCATTCCAGTGTCTTTTCTGGCAATTTTTTGAACAATAAACTATACATTTGCATTGTGCACAACGGTACAATGTCATTTGATCATCGTCCTTGCCACAATAACTACATCTTTGGGACCGCAAACTTTTTTCGGCTACTTCTGGCCCCGGAGAGGCAGCCTCCTGGAGTTTAAAGTATTCTTTCCACGATTCTGTCGACATCCAATTGCAAAATGATTGTCACTTCCACAAATGAAACAATGAGAGCATTTGTCATTTCCACTAGTTTGGCACTGCAAGCATTTTGGCGGCGTATTTCTTCTCTGGTTTCTAGTGTCTACTGGCGCAGGCGAATTTGGTAATCGAGTTTGTTCAGTTTCTTGGTTGATATCCTTCAACTGACTCTTAACTTGTGCCACTTCAACTTTCAGTGCTTCCAGAGTCTTTAGAATTTTATCTTGGGACTCAGCTTTCTCTGCTACCTGGGAAACCTGGGCAGGCTTTGGGCGATTCTGGTTTCTTAATTTTCTTACCCGTTCATTCTCTGTCGACACTGCATTATTCACTTGCAAAATAAGCTCCTCATCTGATATTGTGGGGTTTCTGAGGTACCCCCTAACCCTTACTCTAACATTTTCATCTTGAAGGCCAGTTTCAACAGTACGTAGAAACAGCTTTTGAATATGATCATTTTCATAAACCAAAGTGTCCTCACTTTGATCTTGAGTGCTTGAAAACAGGATTTTCTGGCGTAAATCCAAGGCACGCATAAGGAATTCTTGTGGTGTTTCCTTTGACCCTTGACATATTGATGCAAGACTTTGATATAGCTCAGTTGCACTTTTTACATCATAATGGTTTCGAAGAATTTTTCGTAACCGCTCTAGAGATAGATCCTTGTAAGTTTCTACATAACTTCGAAGAACCATTCCACCATTAATTGCACGAATAACACCGTCCACAATTTCCTGTTCTGTGTACCCCTGTTTAACACCAGTGTCAATTTGTCTTGTCAAGGATGTGAAACTCAACTTGTCTTTCTCATTTGGCTGTCCAATTTGTCCCACAATCTTAAATTGTCGACGAAATACACTTGTAGATTCTAACATACCTTGTAATGTGCTTTGACTTTGTCCTGCGTTTTGTTTTACAGGGGGTACTGATTCTGAAACATCTTTTTCTTTTGGTTCTGTGCTCTTAAAGTAACGTGAGCGAAATTCTGTCAAGAATAACATTCGTTGTTCCTCGTTTTTGTCCACCAATTCTTTATCAATATGGTTAAAAATCATGCAAACAATTGTACTTTTCCTTTGTTCGGAAATATCAAGTTCAAAATCCTTTGCCATAGCCTAGAGCGTTTCTTCGGGTGCTTGGCAAACCGTTGTTTGCATCTCTACTTGTAGTTCTTCAGCCATAATCGCCAGCAAATCACCAAAAGCAAAGATCAAAATACGAAAATCAAGAATTTAGAAAAGCGTAAAAATCATACTTTTTCCTTCGCATTCACAGCTTCTTTTATGTATAAAAGTCTCGGTGGGACCTCCAATTTGTTGCCAGCTCACTAAATTCTCGATCTATCCCATAATTCACGTATTAAAACAGTAGAAAGCACAATTTATTTCGTAAAACAATGCGAACATTAATAACAACGTGGTTGACTAATCGCCATCTTGGAAATCTGTTTGTCTGTCCTTTCTCGTTACTATGGTAACTGTCACAACTGCATGATGCAATAGTTCCTATTTAACTAATGTTACATGACGTATTGCTAATGGGCATCCTACATTTTGACAGTTGTTAAAAATAGCTTGTGGCGGTATCTTTCATCCCAGCAACTGGGCTAGCCCGCTTGTGAGTGTTTATATGGAGAAATTTCCACCCCGGTAAGCGAGATCTCACCTCTCTTCAAGTGAGATCTCACCTCTTTTCAAGTGAGATCTCGGCAACCTGGCCAGCCCACTTGTCCATATAAACGCACAATAATTTTTACTATAAAAATAACTACACAGCGAGATCTCGCTTACCGGGCTGTCTCACTTAGCGGGCCAGCCTGGCTTCCATATAAACAGGACCTAAGTACCAGTCAATATAAGTCCCCGCTTGCTTGAATCTAGGAAGTGTGGGGTTCATGGGGCAAAGCAGGGCCACTGAGACAAAGCCAGGCATTTATAAAATCCAGCAATTTTGATTATGCAGTGCTGGGAAATAAAAACTGCCTACTTCTGGGTTGGGGGAGGTGGTAATTTACATTGTCTGGTATTTGTACACTGAATAGTTATGGGGTGCCATGGCTGCCAGTTCTGTTGTCTTTAAAACGACTGCTAATTCTAAACTGGAGTGATTCAAAACATTGTCCAAACATGTTCTGGAGATTATGAGTAATATTTTAACTTTGGTACACACTCATATTTTGGAACAATCACCAAGGACGCTGACTATAAATGTATCAAGATCTGTAAATATAAAATATAAATCTTACCTGCGATTTGCCTGCCTGCGAAAAGGTTATTCTATTTGGAACATTTTCCGTGGTTGTGGACCTACGTTCCACATCGAATGCATCCTGGCCAACATCAACGATTGCCCAGTTTGTGAAGCAACAACGTTGGCTAATGTTGAAGCTCTTGGAAGGTCTTCGAAAGACAGCAAATATTAACGCTGATTGCCCCGGTGACTTGCTTTGAAGAGGACGAAAGCGACCAAGAAAGTGAGGCAGCCGATGACGATTGACGACGAACCAGAAGACGAACAGAACGAAACCCTCGTGAACAGTTTATTAGCAAAAATATTAAGCCCTTCGCGAAGGTCTGTCAGACAATCGCCATTTTGCCAACCGGATATGTACTTTTAATGTACAGTAATGAGTCATGCGATATTGTACCTGTCAGTCGTGGATCGTTGTGACGCATTTCCGATGCGAAATGAGATCGATGAGATCAGATAGGTAATATTTAAAAACATGTCAGCTGTGGTGTGGGGAAAATAAGTTTAATTAAACTGCCAAATCTACCAATTTTTTATGTGTGTGTAAAGATGGTGCAAGTGAGAGTCTGCTATTTTACGCGCGTCGAAACACTGTTATTCAAACATAAATATTTCGCGTTCTAGATCGAATTTAAAAAATCCCCCCGAGGAAATTAAAGAAGAAAGCATGCTTTATCAGAATTTGTCAGTTTTGGCAAAAAAAGTTTAATATCGAATGTCACCGAGGGCGTAGAACAAGGTGTTATTTTGTCACTCCTTTTGTTTACATGTTTCGAATTTCAGGCATTCTGATTGGTCAAGAACGCAAAATGTAAACAAACGCGCTGATTGGCTAACATTATTTGCCCTTGTTGCTATGAAATAACCTGAATACTTCGTCGAGTTCTCTACCCCCATGTGACCTGTAGTTTAATGTGACACGCGTCTTTGAAAGGGCTTTACTTAACTTTAATCGACGTGTAAGGTATAACTTAGGTAAGCCAACATTTCTTTGTAATGCAAGCTACATTTTCATATCTTTAATATGTGAATATTTTTAATTTTGTAAAAAAATAAGCGCAATATGTTATTGGAGAAAGTATCGAGTGCTTCATAATAACGCTCAGATCTTGTATACAGATTTTTGTATTTTGTTCAAAATCTACCCTTTATCACCACTTTTTTTATTCTTTTATGTTAAAGTATACATAATCCTTGACTTAAAAACATGATGATCTACTCAAGGAAAATTGGGCAAAGGGGCGATCTTTGCAGAGAAACTTGACCGTTCGGTGAAATTGGTAGTCATGCAGAGACCCTATTTTCATTGTAGTATTTCGTGGCAAGTTGTTGGCCGATTTCTAGTTTATATTGTAGAACGGGTCCCTAGTGAATTAAATTAATTGTCTATCCTCTACAGAGCAGTAATAATAATAATAATAATAATAATAATTTATTCATTTAAATAAAGCGCATATGTTATATTATATACTCGAAGCGCTGTACATTTTAAAAATCTAAATATATTAAGAATTAAATATGCTATATAAAACATGGCATTGTATACAATTAGAATATACACTAATGTATGTATCTATAATAAGAATGATAGAATCCAATATGGTCTCAACCTATAAAGGGTTATAAGCCTTATTGAAAAGAAATGTTTTCAAGCGTTTCTTAAACACAGAAATGTTTTCACAGTTCCTGACATCCAGAGGCAGAGAATTCCATAATTGTGGAGTTTACAGTTTGTTTTCGGGATGTATAGTAGACCTTGACCATCCGATCGTAATGTCCCGCGATCACTTGATTGTTTTGGGATAAGCATTTCAGAGATATAGATAGGGGCAATGATATTAAGAGCCTTGTAAACCAGCAAAGCAATTTTGAATTCCACCCGGAATTTTATCGGTAGCCAGTGAAGTGATCTCAAAACTGGGGTGATGTGAGAAAATCTTGGACAGTGGTAGATTAGTCTAGCAGCGGCATTAAGAACTCTCTGAATTCGCTGGACTTGATACTGAGGTATGCCAGCCAACAGAGCATTACAATAGTCCACGTGTGATGTCACGAAAGCATGTATCAAAGTTTTCGTTGTGTTAGTAGATAAAAATTTTCTAATTTGTCGTATTTTATAAAGTCCTCTGAATGCTTTACTGCACATCCTTGCCTACATGAACTGACATTGACATATGCTTGTCAAACCAAGATCCCAAGTTTCGAACACTGTCAACCGGCTTAATTTGGACCCCACCAACGTTAACGGATTCAATGTTTATTTTCAAAAGTTGTTGTGGTGTACCAATTACAAGAAATTCCGTTTTCGAATCTTTGAACATTAATTTATGAGACAACAGCCAAGTACGAACATCAGAAATACAATCTTCCAGTGCGGCTAGGGTACTTTCTGAATTATCTTCACAATCTGGGCGAAAGGATACATAAAGTTGCGTGTCATCAGCATATCCATGAGAAGAGGGTAAGTGCCTGTCAATAATGTCATATAGTTGGGATACATAAAGCAGAAAAAGTATGGGATCAAGACAACTCCCTTGAGGCACTCCGTACTTAACATCGCAGTCTTCAGAAAAATTGTTATCCAGATCAACTCTCTGTTTCCTGTTCAATAGATATGATTTTATCCATTCAAGAGCCCTATCCGTCAATCCAAATTGATACTCCAATACGTCAATGATAGTTTTATGATCAATTGTATCGAACGCTGAGCTTAAGTCCAAGAGTACAAGAAAACACACTTCCTGCCTGTCCATACTCAGAAGAATATCGCTTTGCACCTTTAGCAGAGTCGTCTCTGTCGAATGATATTTCCTGAAGCCAGATTGACAGATAGGGAGAGGTGCATGTTTTTCACAATGGTTCAGCAATTGGTTGGCGGCTGCCTTTTCAGTGATCTTAGAAAGAAGTGACAGATTGCTCACAGGCCTAAAGTTCTCAAATACTGGGTCCAAGCTAGACTTTTTCAGATTTGGTTTCAGCAGAGCAATTTTGCAGTGATCTGGGACACGACCCTCCGGCAAGGATAAATTTACAATTTTGGTGATAGAGGGAATTAGTTCCAGACAACAGATTTTAACAAGCCATGATGGGATCGGATCAAGCTTGCAGCTGGCACTGGACAATTGCATAATAACATCATGAATATCCTGGGAAGAAAGTATCTCAAAAGATTCTAATTTGACTTCAGGATTACGGTAATGCACCAACGGAGGATCGACATGGATACTGTCCACATTTTCTCTAATCAATTCAATTTTGCGGAAAAAATATTCGTTGAACCTATTTCCTAATTGACCAAGATCGTCATGAGGTGGTAAGGGATCTTCATGCGGTGCATTACAAAGGGAGCTCACAATTCTGTAAAGATTCTTTGGATCGTTGGAGCTATCACTGATAAGGGAAGTAATATATGAACAACGAGAGCGAGTGTTTCACCGGGATATCCAAACACTCGAAAACAATGTATGAAAACACGAGCGCTTCGCGCTCGTGTTTTCATACATTGTTTTCGAGTGTTTGGATATCCCGGTGAGACACGAGCTCGAGTTGTTTATATGGCTTCTCAAATGAATCGAGACGTAACAGAATGTTTTCGTGTGCTGATTTGAATAGAATTCTTAACCACGCATAACGTAATTAGGAATTCTATTCTAAGTAATTTTGCATGCGTAATTAAGATATTTGATGAAAACACTAGTGACTTTCATCAAGTATCGAAATGGCATCTTGTGATCAAATAGGTGATTATCATTGGCTAATTTACTCATGAATTATTAATGAATTTGAGAAGTATAAAAATCAGTTCGGGCTTTATTCAACAAGTAACAATATCGGTTACATATTTTCCGATAGGCAGTCCAATCTACTTCTAATTTTGTTTTTTCCGCATCTTTCTCTCTAGTCTCCTACGCTTTACTTTCAATTCTCTTAGTTCGTCATTATACCAAGGAGTTGAACGCTTAACATTCATTAGCTTTCTTCGGACAGGAGCATGGGTATTTAAAATACGTGAAAGTACGTCATCATAGCAATGCACTAATTCATCAAGATGTGCAATGTTTTCGCAATGTGAATTCACATTGCTTAGATCAAGTTTAACAGTTCACGATAAGAAATTAGCTTTTTGGAGTCATTCGGACGAGGAATAGATAATTTACATTCTACAAAACAATAGTCGGACAGAAAGAAAGTACTCTCAATCGAAAGAATATTAATGTCACTTGTAGATCGACTTATCAATAGATCCAGTGTATGATTGGACGAATGTGTTGGAGTACAAACATGTTGTTTGAGGCCAAATGTTTCAAGCATCTCATTAAATTTTATCGTGTTTCTGTTAACCGTATCATCCAAGTGAAAATTAAAGTCCCCGGTAATCAATAGAATTTCTGGACATAGAACAATATCCTCCAAATATTTTGAGAATTCTTCAAAGAATTTTCCAGGTAGAACAGGGTGAGCCGCGCAATAAAGTGGACGATAGATAGCAATAAGTTCAATAGAATATTCAAGTATGGAAAAATTCCACTCTGAATATTCAAAGGATTGCGTTTCTCCACCACCAGAAAGAGAGACATATAAATTGGTGTTAAACATTACGCCTGTGCCTCCTCCTGATCTGTTAGACTGACGGGGAAATTATTTAAATGAATATCCAGGGAGACAAACGCCTGCAATATTTGTTGTGTCCATGTCCTTCAACCAAGTCTCAGTTACAACACAAACATCAATATTTTGGTCAACAATATAGTCGGAGAATACAGCTACCTTATTTCTTAGTGATCTAGCGTTAATCGTTGCAAAACGTAACATATCTGGTTTTGGATTTGAGACAAAATTTACACATACTAAGTTGTTGACATTAACTTTCCTTGCATGAGTTCTTGGCCTTGCATGAGTTCTTGGCCTTGTATTTCAACGAACTGTAATTCTAGTAGGAATTTTGCAAACAAGTTCAATAGACGGAACAGAATTCAAATTATTTTTATTACTTCGCTGCGTTATTATATTGATATTCTTTGGATAGTTAATATCAGCAGTATTGGAACTAATTACGCGTTCGTTAATTGACGGACAAGGGCTAGGTGATTTAGCCATTCTGGGGATCGCTGGTGGGATCGAACAATCGAGGGGGGTGGCTTCCGTCCCGGATTTTCCTGAAAAGGACGTTTGAAATCAACAGGAACTTGATGACTGTATTCTAGGGATTCGTTGAGACTGATTAGGGGTAAAAATTCTATGTCTTTAAGAACATTAAAAGTTGATGAACTGACGTTCCTCAAGCTGCAGTGGTGACCATCGACAATGGGATATGTGTCAACCTTGTTGTCGACTTCATTCATAGTAGCTGACACTCCAGGGACTTGAAGTAGGGATTTGAGTTCGGTAATATTTGGCAATTTCCTTGCATTCGAATTACCTTTCATGTGCTGACCGTCGCGGGATTTGGCGCCATTGATCAGGTTATTATTATGGCTTTGTAGTAGGTCGGCTGGGCTGTTATCACTATTTAAAATTAACTGATTATCCTTAACTGATAAGTCTTTGTCGACGCGTCTATTGTTGGAAACGACTAGATTGGAAGTCACGTGCGACTTCCGTGCAAGGTCGGTCAGGGAGTTTTCCTCACCCAAAACTCGATTAAGGACAAGATTGCTTTGTTTTACATGATTGACCGCGCATTGTTTATCGTTCTTTGTGGCAGTGTTGCTAGGGAAAATTTCATTCTGCTTTGAATTGGAGATTTTGGTCTTAATTAGATCTCTCAAGGAGACATTAGTCGCCTCAGTGGCTTTAAGTTTAAATTCAAGAGAGGCAATAATATCGTTCAATTCATTAACTTCACAAGATATTCCTTTGATTAGAATAGACAGATCAGCTTCCAAGCGCTTGCATTTCTCCCTCTCGCTAGAAAGGTCCTTTTTGAGCCGGCTTACTTCATCTTGGTACCGTTTAGTTTCGCTTGGATTAACTTTATCGATCACATTTGAGCGCGACTCCTTTTTTTTGACGGATGTTAAATTCATTTTAGACTTTTGTTCATAAACAACGACTACACTATACCGAGTACTAAATCACTGTTTGCAAAGAAATGAGCCTATATCACCACAAAAATTCAAGCTTATTTTTAGAGTCATATAGTTTCTCCATGGATAAAAGTAGTTTTTATGGAGTGAAAAATAGGGCAGGTACGAATTTAAAGAAGGTCAATTTGCACTTGTATATCTCACTTCGAAAAAGATATACATATTAAAAACAGGTATATTTTCACTGCGAAATTAAACTGCTGCAACAAAGTTTTTATTTCTACTTTCATGTTCTTATTCCAAAGCAAACACTTCTAAGTTGGAAATGCCTAAAATTGTGAGCGTAGAAACACTAAAGAAACAAGAAAACGACTTCATAACACGAGTAGGCAAATTTGATGTTTGTTTTTATAATTCAGTCACGCGATTAACCCGCGCTCACGTGCACTCCACGCTTACGTTTCTCGCGCATGCGTAGACGAAAGTCCACCCTGTTTTTGCCAAGTCTAAAGTTCATCAATGAGCGAGGGCGTCGGTCACCAACCGTGGGTGGTCCATTGAACTATAAATAACTGGAAGGCTCAGTCAGGGGGGGTGAGTTGAAGCCGTGCTTGAACCTTTTTTTGTAGGTAGACCCAGTCCTTTTTAATTTTTTTTTTAAATATGCACATTTTTTGATCAGAAAAATCTTGCCCCAAAATATTAGTTATACTACCAAATTTAATTTATATCAGTAGTATGATAAATGAATTTAATATTCGCAAAAAAAGCAAATCAATGCGAAAAACACGACCATAAGCATGAACGGTCCGAAAAACCGCGCGTTTTAGGCTTCTTTTTCTAAGTTTTTGGAAGTTTAAGATAAAACTAAGACGTCATACCTCGGGAATTATTTAAACCCATGCAAAATACATCTGTATGCGAAGTTTCAAGAAGATTGAACGAGTTTAAGTTCGAAAAAAAAGCATTTAAAAATTGACAAAAATATTGCCATATTCAAAGTGCTCATAGTGGCCAACAAGAAGAGCGATGACGAAAATAACATCACTTGAAAAACGCCAATTTATTTATGTTTTAGAAGGAATGAAACGAGGACTAAAAGCTCAGGATCAATAATAATACCTGGCGTTTAATACTACATAAGTTTTGGGACTGTCAAAATGTTTTATAGTATATTTTTTTGAGTTGAAGCGTGAGGTTTCCTTCGGCACGTCCAAACTTTCGTCATTTTTTCAAAATACAAAAGCAAATTAAACTCCTTACTTTTTGCTGCAGAGAGATGTAGACAGTGGAACTAATGGAAAACATCCAACTAAGAGCTATGTTATGAATATGAATAAAACATTAATTAAACGTAATATGAATAAAACATCATAACGTAATATATTTAAATTATTGCACTTACTTTTATAAATCATAAGAGCTTGTATTTCCAGTGAATAGCTTCAAACGATTGTTCAAATATGGCGAATAAATTGCATGACAAAACGAAAATATTACATGACGTTCCATCGAAAATAACAGCAAGGATTGCGGGCGCGAGCGGAAGGCGAGGGTAATAGATATTAATAGAAGGGATGAAACACCGGTAATGCGATCGTGTGATGTGTTCCATAAGTAGCCTGTTCTCTCGGAAAATTCCAAAACGCCTCCTGCCAACTCCAACAACGCCTAAGCGCTTAATTAATGAACATAAACAATGTTTAGCTATACCGGCTAATATGAAATATTTAAATGTAGCGACCAACGTTTTTTTTACATTATTTAGTTTTATTATTATTTCGTCCTACGTCACGAGAACAGGCTACTTATGGAACACATCTCGCGAAAATGGCCAAGAATGCTCGCTGTTATAAATCACATAAATTAGATTGATCAGTGCTTTTTTGGTAATGACTAGGCTTGTTCATGTAAGAGAACATCGACTGAGCCTTAAGAAACCCACAAAAAGCTTAAACGGATAGTCTAGAAGCATTTTAAAAAGTCACGTGATATTTGTTTCATCCCTTTTTAATATTTATTTCTTCCCTCGCCTTTTCGCTCGCGCGCCCGCAATCTCTGCTGTTATTTTCGATAGAACGTCATGTAATATTTTCGTTTTGTCAATTTATTCGCCATATTTGAACAATCTTTCGAAGCAATGTTTCTGAACATATGTAAGCGCCGTGTTTGAAGCTATTCACTGGAAATACAAGCTCTTATGATTTAGATACAAGTAAGTGCAATAATTTAAATATATTACGTTATGATGTTTTATTCATATTACGTTTAATTAATGTTTTATTCATATTCATAACACAGCTCTTAGTTGGACCCCCTGTGGAAAACCTGGTTTAAATCCCAATCATATGCATTGTTGTATTCCCATGGAAAAAGTGTTTTTCTTGCAAATTTTTGCTCGAAAACAAACTTTTGGCAGAATTTTCTTCACTCCTCGAAACTCTCCTTAGTCTTTTTGAAAGCTGATTTTCCCGCGCGCTGGCTTCAACGAATCAGAGGCTTTCATCATAGGAGTTAGCCTTCAAGTTATTTATACTTATTATAGTTCAATGGGGTGGTCATCCTCACTGATCTAAAAAATATGGCTGTTTGCCAGGAGTGGGATAAGCAAGATTTCAATTTTCAAAAGCATATATTTGGAAAATCACGTTCCACACAATGAGCTTTGAAGCAATTTTTGTTTGAAGAAATGAGAAGAATTGATTTACTGTGGAAAATCGTGGAAAATAGGGCAAGTTTGCTTTGAATGTTTCATGTTTATGAATTTTGTTACTTTAATTTATTGCGTATTAAAAACATGCACTGTTTTCCTTTTCAGTGAAGCTGTATTAAAGTTCGCTAAATTACCCTGTTTAATTTAAAAATAAAAGGTAAAATGTAAAGGAGAGCAAATTCGTTTGAAAACCGAACTGAAATTACTCAACAATTTGAACTTATTTTGTTTTATAAACTGGCTAAAAACCCGTACAGTTTTAAATCGGAAAAGCAGTTTATAGTTTAATATTAAAATGAATTCGAACATTTCAAAACAATTTACGAAGCCATTCACGTTAAATTTTACATTAAATCAAAGCTCACAAAATGCAGAACAACATACCTACAGTACATATTTCGGAAATTCATTGTTATATAGTTAAAAGCAACTGATCTTTCAACTATTTTTGGCGTTTCCACAAACAAAACTATTATAATATATTTTTGCCGTGTTGTACAAAAAAATAATAAAAATTAAATTTATCGTGTTGCCATGGCAACACTGACGTAAACGCGAGCCTGCGTCAGTCACAGGTTCAGTGTTAATCAATTACTAATACTTCATGTTAAATCAATGTTTGGAACATACATGGGAGGGGTTGCTGCATGCATGCATGTATTTCTAGTTAGAATATATACAGCACTGGAATTCATTATAAAGCTTTTATTTGAATATAAGTGGACATAGTTTGGTCTACATATTATTGCAACTGCAATTAGTGTACAATAAATTCAGACAAAAAATCTTTCACGTCAGCTGGCAAACTGGCTGTGAATTAAAATCCTGAAACAAAGATTAAAATTTTTAATTAATTAAAAAAATAAAAAAACGAGACACTTAATGAAGATAATTAAATGTTATGCAGGCATATCCTAAATAAATCGATATTTACCTCTCCTCCTCAAGTAAACCCCTTGCAAATAAACTCCCCCTCTGTCACGTTATTAAGTGCCTCCCTCTATTAAGCCCCTCGCAACCAAGTATATACATGATGATATAATGTATTGATTAGATACATTATTTTACCTAGAAATTCATTTTTGGTTTTTAATTTCTTAGTCACGATTGACTGAGTTTTTATTTAAATCAATCAGCCTCCACCTTCTTTCTCCACTGAGGGCCCCTCTTCTCTCTCAAATAAGTAACCCTTATAATATGCCTGAAATAAATAATCCTCTCTATGGGTGCATGCAAAGAGAGTATTGATGGTACTATATATTTATTAATTTATATATATGTTGGTATATACTCGACGTGTTAAAGCTTCTTAATCTTACATGACAAACTTTCAACTACATAATGACATATACTAGAAAGTGTGACCTTAGACACTTGGTAAAACTCACTTCGCCTACATGTAGCCTCACAAGCCTGTTTCGTTTTAAAATTATTCTTATTTCCTAAACATCCTCCATAATAGAATAATTCACATCTTCCAGTTCTCCGATTGTAGAAGTAACGAGGCATACGAGCTTTGCATGGACCAATCACTTTCGGCAATAAACAATCTAGCAAAATTAAAAACAAGATGTAATATTAAAGCTTGTATTCCAGTCAGACGTTCGTCATACGCGTATATACATGCACACATAGTCTTTCAAAACATGGTTTGGAAACTCCGGTAAAGTCTTTGTTCTATCTTTTTGTTCGCGTTTATGCAGTTTTGTGCACGGTGCACGGTCAATGAACACATTGTATTTCAGTGTAATGAACGAATCATCCAATAGCAACGTTTCAGTTCAGTCATTCAACCATGCTATTTAAATATTAATAAACCTAAAACAAAGGATGTGCACGGTGTAAGGTACGGCTCAACATAAACACACAGCTCATTATAACCGCTTTGAAGTTTACTGAGTTTCCAGACCATGTCTCGAAAGACTATGATGCACATCAGTTGCATGATATCGTAGGCCCAAGCGGAATTATGGTACTCGCCTTCACCCCCTGGTACTTGAGTACTAATATTAAACAACGAAAACCTATCTTTTTTGAGTTGGATGAACAAAATTCGAAAGAAATTAAAAAATGAAGTAAGCAACATATTTCTTTCGTAACTATATAAACGTTAGTATACTCACTAGGGGGAGCGCTAATCACTGCATGCATGTGGGGCAGTTCTAATGAGATTGACACGAATACAAATCATACTTTACGATACAGTCCAGATGGAAACTATGCAAATTAAGATTTCCTATATTAATTTGTCAATTGTTCTTACAACAAGGGCCATTGTGAATAATATGAATTTTTCCAGGACTTTTGCAATCAGCTCTTCTCAATTCACAGGCGTTGCCATACGTCTTTCCGTCTGATCCACACACTGGCTTGTATATTTTTGGACATGGAAAATTACAGGCTGTTGAAAATGAAAATAATGATTGAGATTTCATTCCACAGAACTATCCATAATAGAAAAATCATAGTTATAATTATTAATAGTTATAATTATTAATGGTGAATTATTAATAGCTGGGTCAATTCAAAATACCCACAAATTCTAATTACAGGGTGTCTAAAACGCTATGGAAATTTAACAGACTGTCGTGCATCATAAATGTCGCCGAAACAATTCAATTTTTACATAGGACGAAAGAACAGTTGTTTAGCTTTTCAATGATACTCTTTTTGAATCGTAACGATGAGAAATGGCCACATACTCGTCAAATAAAAATTGCTGGTCGAAATCACATTCTTCCACCGTTGAGAATTGCATGGAAAACGAAACATAGACTGTTATATTTATTGAATGTTAAATTATCTAAAATGAGCTCAACTCGTCAATCTTAACTTCGTCTTAGCATATCTCTTAGTGAGACAATAAGAACGTCATTATTGCATTAAACATGGTTCAATTAACCACTGAACAGAGAACATTCGTAATCAAAACGTTTTACGAAACAAATACCTTGCACAGTGGCGGCGCCAGGCTTCCAAATTTGGGGGGGCATTTGAGGGGCAAACTCAAATTTTGGGGGGGCAAGATAGAATTTTTAAAAAGGTCGCCCCTCCCAGGAAATTCGCCCCCTCCCTCAAAACGTGGCGATATTCCTAGGAATATCGCCCCCGGGGGCGAATATCCTAGGAATATCGCCTCCCAGGGGGGTGGGGCGAATACCCTAGGAATATCGCTCCTCTTTAGGACATTAGCCCCCCATATATGCGATGTGGTTTATTCAAATAATTTCGTGATACTTTTATCTTACTATTGCCTTACACGTTTGAGAATTTAACTCATCAAAACTAAAGCTTTTTTGTCTTTTTTTGAAACGTATTATTGGAGTATTGGCAAGTTTTACCATTCAGAGATTTACAAACTAATACTGAAACTGTAAAAAACAGTTTCATGTATACGCGCATTCACTAATGAGTAATGACAACTTATAAGCCATACATTTTCCGATAACGACGGAACGCTTGTGTAGCCTTTAGTCGCTCTTAGTGACTAATAATTTTTTTTGAGGGGGGGAAAAATGGGGGGGGGGGCAAAAAATAATATTGGGGGGCATTTGCCTCCCCTTGCCCCCCCCTGGCGCCGCCACTGACCTTGCAGCAGGCTCGCGTTGCTTTTGGATTGATTAACTTTGCATAATGAATGTATTTTTCAATTCCCAATGGTGAAAGAATGTGATCTCGACGACTATGTGGCCATTTCTCATCGTTAATGTTTAAGAAAGGTATCATAGAAAAGCTAAATAACAGCTCTTTATCGTCCTATGTAAAAATTGAATTGCTTAGCTAAGTTTGTGATGAACAGCCTGTTGAATTTCCATAGTGTTTTTAGACACCCTGTATAGCTCAAAACATTGGCTCTTATTTGGTCCCTGGATGGCATTGAGAACATGCAGACTGACAAGAATACTTTGCAAATAGTGGGGGAAAAAAGGAAAATTCCGACCACCTCGGAATCGTATATATAATGGCACTCTTGTTTTGGGACGTTTATTAACTGCCTTTATAACCCCAATCTTAACTCAGATCTTTAACCTTACTTTCACTCTTATCCAATATAGCTGCAATTAGTTTCTCACGATGACGAATATTTGCCATTTTTGGGTGGCATCTAATTCTCGTTAACCAATGCAGACAATTAAAACAATGTGAAAAGCAATTTTTCAAAATAAACTAACCATTTACAAAGCAAATTTACAATCATTCGTCAAAAAAATTATAAAAAGTCGCTGTTATGTGGACTTATCTCGCAGACTTTGGCTGAAAAGCCACCCAAATTCCATGCAATTTGTCTGCTCATGCTAGAGATTGGCGACAACAAGATGCCAACAACCAGTATAGCATATACTAGCATATACTAGCAGATGTCAACAACCAGTGTATATATATATAACAAAGTTTTGTTACTGCAGTAGATTGAAGAGAGCTCAACACAAAAATTTGTAGAGCAATATTTATTTAATCTTAAAAATAGTACATGTTGCTACTCAGAGTTTCATGCAATTTCGCAATCTTCATTCTGGCCTGAAGATTGCGAAATTGCATGAAACTCTGAGTAACAACATGTACTATTTTTAAGATTAAATATATATGTATATATATATATATATATATATATATATATATATATATATATATATATATATATATATATATATATATGTATATATAAAAGTGACAAAGTAAGTCATATCTCGAATACGCATGCGTACTACATGTCGTAGTTTCAAAGCAGCGTAAAGAGCCATGAACGGACTATGACTTTAGTGTGTCCTGCTCACATTAGCAACTGTGGACAGCTGTTTCGCCCTTTTGGGGCTCATCAGCACAGTGTAGCTAATGGAAGAGATGCATCTCCAAATATTTATATGACGACAAAGTAGGATG